ACACACACACAACACAATCACACACACACACACACCCACTCACACACACACACACACACACACACACACACACACACACACACACACACACACACACACACACACACACACACACACACACACAATGGCAGACTAAAAGAAAGAAAGGAAGAAAACAGACAACCCAAGGGAGGGATGGGAGGACGGCACGCCGACTGGGTTTGGCACATTGAGCTGCTGGTTTTCTTTTGCTGCGGCGGAGGTGGAGGGCGGCTGCCCGCCCCTGCCTTCTGGTCCTGAAGGTGCTCGCTATCACGTCACCAACGAGTGTGAGTCGCCTGTCGCGGAGGGGGCGATATTCGTGCAGTGCCGATCGGTAATTTGGGGGTATTTTTGCGTAATTGGGCACGAAGGTGGTCTTTGTTCATTCCCGCCTGTTTACTGAAAGCAGGAGAAGGAGGAGAGCGCTGACTCGTTTCGTTTCTTGTTCCCTAGATACGGTACCTGTCGCGAGTGCCAGGCAGGCAGGACCGACCCGACCGAGTTCGGCGGGCAGGGCGTCCGGAAGAAGCGCTGCCGGTCGCGCAAATGGCCAGAATCCCCGAATGGCCGCAGAGCGCGAGGGTGGAGCGCCCACATGGACCCTCAACAGGATCCCACCGCTCCTCGCCCCCGTCTCGCAGGCCAAAATCGTCGACATCGCGTCGGCACTCTCGACGGCGCGCCTGGGCTCGCAGAGGCGGCCTGGGCGGTGCAGGGTGGCTGGGCTGCCCCCCTCCCGCGGTGCGCCAAGCCTCGGGGGTCGGGGAGACCATCTCGGGTCGCCGAGGGGGCGGGTCGGACGCCCGATCCGGAGCTGCTGGCCGGAGGACGTCGCCGGCTCCGCGATTTTGGACGCCCCAGGCGCCTCCAGCCGGGCCGAGCGGCGCCAGCTGGTAGCTGGGGCCGCAGGGCGGTCGGGCCGACACCGTATGCTAGTCGGAGTGGGTTGTCTAGGGGTGTAGAGGTCGGTAGAGTGTCCGTTTGTGCCTTCCGGACAGGCTCCGGTCGGGAGCCCGCCGGCGGGCCGGCTGAGGCTGTGTGTCCGTCCACTGTGGACCTAGTGATGGCCTAGGAGCCCTGCACGAACGGTTTTTATGCTATATAACACCTAGGGACCGCGTCGGGTGTGGGCGGCGAGCCGCGCATCGGCCGACAATGTGTGCCGATGTACGCGTTTCGGTCACACCGCGGTCAGGCTCAGGGCCCGTGTTTTATGGCATATATTTATGGCTTTTGCATGA